GGGATCAGGCGAGACTGGGCCAGTCCCCGCGTCTCTATATGACAAGATCTCGCCCTCATATCAGCTTTCACCGTATATTGCATCTGGATGCAGACGGGTAGATGAGGATATGTATAACCTTATTGGATATACAAGCGTTTATTATCGGTTCTCAGTGGACCGTGGGTTAGAATCACCTGAAAGGTTCTCAAAGAATAGATTTGGTGACATATATACACATACGCAAGTGTATCTATCACAACCAAGGGTAGAACGTGATATGACCAACGCCGTAGGGGTCGCAGAAGGCGGTACTTATAATACCATAGGAATCATGTGTAAGCTTCGATTACTGATCGAGACAATGAATTTAATAAGAACCCCTAGGTCAAATCCGCAGTTCCACAAGAAGCACCAGCCATGGTCTCCCTCCTTTGACTGCTTTCTTCGTAGAAAGGCAGTCCCTCATGGAATCCATGACCAATGCTCTATTCGATCAACAGCCTAACATCCAACGTATTATGGTGATATCCGGTATGGGGGGTAGTGGAAAGACACAACTGGTGCTTAGATTCCTTCGAGCACACTCCGAAAGGTAACAGGATGGATCTCTACTCAAAAGATGTAGACTAAAGATTTTAGGTTCCGTCATATTCTATTTATAGATGCCAGCTCCGAGAGTAGCATTCGACATGGTATGGTGCAACGAGTTCGCTCTTTAGGACTTGTGTATGCACGTAACACCACCGAAGAAGCCATGGAAGTACTATCCAAGCCAGACGGAGAAATATCCACTGATTGGGCAATCGTTTTCGACAACTGCGATAATCTGAATATCAATATCTCTTCTTTCTTTCCGCAATGCGATCATGGATCCATTATTGTCACTACTCGCAATCCCCAGCTCAGCTTGTTATCACCTGATGCACATATTGCAGTTGGCGTTATGTCACCCGAAGAGGGTAGCCTCGCATTGCTTAAATCAGCACTTGCAGACTCTCGACCCTCCGAAAGCGATATTAAGCATGCTTCGGCGATAGCCAAGGAACTGGAATACCTGCCTGTTGCACTCATCCAAGCAGGGTCATTTATCAAGCGTCAACGGTGCTTGCACACTTATTTGGATAAACTCAAGAGAAATCGAGCCAATATTCTCAAACGAAAGGCGATAGGACAGCGTGATCGGCATTATCATTGTGTCTATGACACCCTAGAAGTTACTTATCCAGAGCTAACGAGACAATGTCAGATGCTTCTAGGACTTCTATCGTTTGTCAACTATAGTGGATTCTCGTTGGAATTGGTACATCGAGCGGCAGGAAACGGCTTTCGATTTGAGCCAGTTGATCTACGAGACCGCGATGAGCAATTCGAAGAAACAATACGAACATTACACGAAGTATTCATCCCAGGGATGGTATGGGACGAGCAATTTCTGGACGATCTCGTAGAAGAGTTGGAACAATACTCCCTCGTAACCAGAGTGGATGTTTATAATCTGCCGACATTACGAATGCATTGTCTAGTAAGTGCGTGGGCACATGATCGACTCTCAGATCCAGATAAGGAAAAATATCTTTCTGCTATCGTCCGTCTGCTGATTAGCGGGACTAGCGAAGATAATCAAGACATATACGAGTTCATCCTTCCACATTTAGACGAGATACCATCCATATGGGGTGCTTTACACGTGAACGACCGGTTCGGTCTGGTCAAAATGCTACTTCATGGCAGAAGAATCGATGACAGTGCACGAATCGTTGAACATATATCTAGTGAAGTTATCGAGAGGTATGGCCAAAGGACTCTTCGTTCCATTCCGGCATTCCTTCTACAAGCAGATGTTTATTGGAAGACTAGCGACGAAGCGAAAAAGCAAGAGGCCGACTCGATTCATATAAAGACTCTCGGTATTCTTTTAGGCCTTGTTCCTGACGACCATCCATTGATCTTGGAAGCACTTGCTCAACGGGCTAAGAGCTTATACACAATGGATATTAGGGGCGAAGCTGAGAGGATACAAAGGGACATATTGCGGAGACTGCAAAATTCAACGAGTGGAGATGTCGATTTTACTCTCAAGGTCATGAGAGACCTCGCGATGACATGTGCTGATGATCAAGTGAAAAAGTATGACGAAGCGATGAAGCTGTTGGTCGCCGTTCTGAAGAAACGCATGGAAATCGATGGGGAAAATCATTGGAGGACGCTTGAAGCCGAACAAGGTCTAGCCAAATTCTATTTGAACGCATTCGTAAGGGACCTCTACGATTCATATAAAGACGGCGGAGTCACTACTCGTGCATCATTCGAGGAAGGCGTCCTTCTCTGCCAGAATATGGTAAAAGGAAGGGAGGCACGTCGCGGACCCAGGCACCCGGACACTCTGAACGCGAAACTGATCCT